GAAATTGTAATCAAGCAAAAGAAGCTGCAGAGAAGACAGCCACCTTATCTCAGCTACTAGGGATGCTATTCAAAACACCAGCCACCTTTTTCCATTTAATACCACTTGGTATGCTGTTTATTTTTATTTCTACAATATGGATAACCTGTCAAAAAGACGTACGTTAGGAGCAGATGTGATTTTGCACTCATGGAAGATTTCAATGGTAGATGACCTATTGTGGTTAATCCAGCCTCTGCTGTGTCAGTCACTCTGTCCAGCAGCCATCTTTTTTCCACTTGAAAGCACAACAAGGCAGCAAGGATTTGCTCCAGAGACCGGCGCAGAACGCTGGCAGCCCCCTTTGCTGCTTGACTAATACAGTCCAGCTACGAAAGAGAGACAAGGTGCCAAAGACCAATTCACTTACGGGACTCGATAGCAGAAAAGCCTTTGGTTTACGGAAAAGGGGCATGAATTAATAATCACCTTATTGGCTTGCCTTTTTATTTTTTTCTTTTCCCCTGCTCTGTGTGCCCTGCTGGTGCTTTCACACAATAGCCATCCTTTGCATTTGACATAAGATGTTTATTGCAGTTGAGCTCTCTGTCTAGTGAAGGTGCAAAAAAAGACATTAAAAAACAATGTGTGACAAACATTAAGGTATAATGCACGTTGACTTTTTTGTTGACTGTACAGGATTTGCAAGGCTGAGTTTTCAGGTAAATTTCTTGTAGATTCATATAAGCTCCTAATAAATATTACTCAGCAATTCATTAGTGAAATCAGAGAAAAAATTAAGAGTCCTTCATCTTCTTTCTTTAAACATTTTTGTTAGCCTTTCTTCCTTTTAAATGAATTTATCTTTTAATCGACTTGCCACGTTTTCTGATTGTAAAATTGGTCCTTTCATCAGACACTATAGATAAAAGTATCTAAGTAAACAAAATGAAAATGTTATTTTTGTTCTTTATTACCAGAAAATATGACTTCTTATCAGCAGTTGATATTTAAAGCATGTCCAACTTGGGCCTGCTTTCAATCCTGCTTGTGGTAATCACTGTCCTTTGCACAGTTTTAGTCATAGTTTTTGAGCCAACTCTTGCATCATTTTTGGACATAAATAAAGGAATAAAACTATACTAAAATTATTTTTGATTTAATTTCAGTTCTAGGTTTTGCAGTGTTTCAGAATTTGTTTTTTTTTTTTTTTTTTTTTCCCATGACAAGAAAAAACTATGGAAACAGTAGTTATATGTTAGTCATGGGCTGCTGATGATAGTGTTGCACTGTTTCTTAGAGAAGCAATGGATCAGATTTATGAAGTCCTAATTAGCCATGACAGAGCCTGCACCAGAGAAAGGCCTGTGCAGCTCCTCACCTTACACGCCTTCCCTCTCACCTACACTTAAGCATGAAGCACCTCATCCAGAAAACACGGGTTTTAGCAGCTTTCAGAATAAAAACAGCCACTTGTTGCGCCCCTGGTGCTAATTGAGCAGCTCTGGAAGCATAATTGTTATGCTTATTCTCTTAATCATGAGACTGAGAGGAGGTTTGATACTTTCCCTACTGTATTTGTAGCTGTACATTTATGATTTTTCCTTCCTGAAGTTACCAGCTCAGTCCTCACTAAAAACATAAATATACACATTAATAATTTATCAGTTTCTATATTTGCTTCTCTTTTAATCTTTTTTATATCGCAAGGAGTGAAAGCATCCTTCCTTACTTTGTGGGTGTTGATGTTAATTATAGTCAAGGAGCTGCTTGTTGAAATAATGAGCCACTGAAGGAGAGAGGAAACGGCTCTGTTCAGATTGCATACTCAAAAACATTTTATTTTTTTTTACATAGCATGATCTTCAGATCCATATAAAATTTGCCTGTGCAAAACAATTTGCCTAAACTGGAATGGAGATCCTAAACCTAAAAGTTCTCTAAAACAGGACTAGAGATGGCAAATATTCTTTATCAAGCAAGAGGACTTTAGGCAGAAAAAGAGTGGAGGCAGAGTTGGAGGATGAATTGGTGAGCACAGTGCCATGACTGAAAGGTTAATGTCAACGAATGGGAGGTTCTTTTTGTTTAACATTTCCTTTGTTTATTGGTGGATGTGTTTAATAGGATTGAGTGTGACTGCACCCTAATAGGGTCTCCATGGCTGATCTCAGTGTTTCTGGGAGATCTTACAGACTCCTCTGTCCTAAGCCAGGTCTCCCACTGGGTAATCACCTCAACTGCCCTCATCCTGATTGGAGCTGACATTTTAATGTCTGGAGTAGGAGTGTGGTCAGCCCTGTTTAACCTGACCCCCCCATTGCCATACCACCCCTCCCTTACAAGCGGCCTCTGTTCTCAATTTGCCCCTTAAGAACTGTACCAATCAGGCCAAATTTAACTCTTTATAGGGCTGTTAGAGGTCTGTGAGACAACTCCTTAAGTTTCACAATAAACACTTTCCACTGGAGCTACTGCTGCAGTTTCCCTTCACAGATTCTCTGTGGCTTTAGCTTTTCAGTTAACACTGAAAAGCTTTTGCTTAGCTGTTCCACTGAAGTTACACCTCTACAGTGGGAACTGTTGGTTATCCTTTTCTGTTTTTTTAAGTGGAGGATTTTAAAGTGGCTTGCAAGGTCTCATTTGGAAAGAGAAAGAATAAAAAAAGAAAAACATTATTTTGGTTATTGCAGCATTGTTTCCATTTAAATGTGTATGCAATCTGAATTGATGTGTGAGCCAGTGAGACACTTGAGACAGACCTGACATTCACTGAAGTATCACTATTTCCTTGCAAAAAGTTGTTGGTGAATATGCTTGGATATGACTGATCTAGAGCTGTTGTGTGTTTTGTTTGAGCCTTAAACGTACATTAAAAAGTTTCAGCATCTTTGTATGAAACTTTTCTTTCTTTGATTATTAAAGATTGGCTTCATGACACCTTTTACATATATTTTATGAAACAAACCTCAGCTGTTAGTCAAGCCTCTATGATCTGAATAAGACACTGTCATCAAAACATTTTGATGTTGTTTGTTTGATGCTGTTTGATATCACAAGAATCTCCACCTCAGTATGCAATAGCATAGAGGCGATCATTGCACTGTGTAGGTGCAATAGAAGCCCAGATTGCTGGGCTTATAGCTGCCTTCAGGTCTTCTGCCCTGTTGGGTCTGGTGTCTCTCATCATTCTTTTAACAACAGCTCATAGATCTTCTATGGAGTTCAGGTCAGGAGAGTTTGCTGGTCAATCAAGACCAGCAAACTCTCCAGCTTTTAGTAACTGTGGAAGTGTGGGCAGGTGCCAAGTCTTGCTGGAAAATAAAATCAGCATCTTCATACAGCTTGTAATCAGAGGTGAGCATGAGTTCTCCAGAATTTCCTGGCAGACGGCAACATTGACAGTAGACTTCAGAAAGTATTATGGACCAACACCAGATGATATGGTGCCAAAAACCTTCTAGCAACATGGATTTTGTGCCACTCTTCCTCCAGACCCTGTAAATTTAATTTCCAAATGAAATGCGGAAATTGCTTTAATTTAGAAAAAGAACACTGACCCATTTCATAACACCCCAGTTCCTTTGCCGATGTAAGATCCCTCTGATGTCGTCACCGGTTTAGCTTGACACATGGAATGTGACACTTGTAGCCCATGTCTTGTATGTGTCTGTGTGTGTTGGTTCTTCTGGAATGGATTTCTCTTGACAATCCTCTTGAGGCTGCAGTTCTTCCTGCTGCTGGTGCACCTTTTCTCACCACACTTCTTTTTTCTACTCAATTTGCTGTTAATATGCTAGGATACAGATCAGCTTCTTCAGCAGTGACCTTTCATGACATAACCTCCCTGTGAAGGGTGTCGATGACTCTCTCCTGGATGTTTGTCAAGTCATCTTTTTTCCCAGTGATTGTGTGGTCTACTGACCCAGAGTGAGAGACTGTTTAATGGCTCAGGGAACATTTACAGGTGTTTTGAGTTAATTAGCTGATTAAAATATGACACCATCAATTCCCATTAAGAAACTTTTGCACAGTATTCTGGCTTTCTGAAAAATTAAATTTTGGGATTTTATTATCTGTAAGCCATAATGGTCAACATTACAAGAGATAGATAATGAGTTTAATTTTTTGCGATGACTGGCATGAAATATATTACTTTTTAGCTGCATCTTGTTTATTTGAGATGTACTAGTACAAGCACAAAACATTTGTTTCTTTCATTTATTTCTTTTCAGTTCATAACCTTTAGTTATACACTTGAGTTCTAGTAAAACATGATTTTTCAAGCCGCCACTCACTATATGATGCAATTGTATTCAGATGTTATGGAATAAATATTGTGAATAAATGTATTAGAAACATTCAAAACAAAAAAGATTGTGCCATATTAATGTTCCTAGTATTTCTAGCATATCTATATTTAATGCTAAAAGAGGTACAAGTTTTTAGCCTAAGAAATCAAATTGGACCACTTCACGTCTTGCAGTAAAATGTATCAGGCGAATGAAGCCAAGCTCTGGATATAGTGCTGCCTTTATGTAAGAGATAAAAGCAGCAATTATTGTGCAGCAATTTTCCATATGACAAAATATCAAACAAATGTACACAGAGGCAAGTCGCATCTTGGTGCATAGATGTTGACAGAGATCTATGCCTTTCTGGCAAAAATATTAGAACATCTATTGGTAAAAATCAAAGAATCTCATATGGTGTGACATTTTGTAATGATGTGAAACTAAAATCTTGTGCTATGGTGTTGTTTTGATACCACAACTCAAGACTCAAATGGCCCATCAGTTGGCCTTGCTAGTGTATTCCATAACTGTTATTGATAGTATTTTTCCTGCCCAATTCCCATTAAATGCACTTAAATCACATCTGAGAAAGACATCCAGAGGCTCTTTATTCTCACTGTTATTGATCTGGTACCAAGCTGCCAGGTTCTCAAATTGTCCTAACACATCTGTTGTTCCCTCTTAGTCCTTTTGTTTATATGTTTGTTTCTATTGGAATATTTTCAGGTGCGTCTGGCCACTTGGAACGGCACCAGTCGGATTCTCCTCTTCCCTCCAAAAGGCCCTCTTCCCGCTCGGAGATCTCTGACAGCCCGCTTTCCGTGAAGCGTCCCAGGACGGCTGAAAAGGGAACTGCGGAGCAGGTCGGGATTAAAAAAACACTGATTTTTATTTTTTAATATACAGACAGCCTATGATGTTTTTAAAAAGTCTACTTTTTTTTAATTGAGGGCATCTAGCTAAAGGTGATCTCGTCATTAATTACCGAGACATCATTAAAAGTCTCAAGCTTGGGAATCAGTTCAACATGAACCTCTACAAGTAATTCTCAGTGCTGAGCTTTTTTATGTTATGCACATTTACTTCTTTTAGATCTACTCAAAATTAATTCAGCAAATATGCTAGGCCAGCACTGCTAATTGTACATAAGCTGGAAAATCAATATAGTATTTGACAGATGAGACCACTTTCAAGTGGGTCCCAACTGCCAAGACTCGGCGCTGCTAGCTTTTCCACATGTGTGGGTGTGATCAGAGCGGTCTGCTGTTAGAGGGGAGTGCCTCTACTCTTTCCCCTGACATAGAGCTTCTATTCAGACAAGCATCCTGGTTTCACCATGTTAACCTTGTGGTTCTTCTGTCTCTGCCACCACCTCCAGATGTACCAGTGCCCCTACTGCAAATTCACCAACTCGGACCTGAATCGCCTCAGAATGCACGTGATGACACAGCACTCTGTTCAGCCAATGTTACGCTGCCCACTGTGCCAGGACATGCTCAACAATAAGATCCACCTGCAGTTCCACCTCACACACCTCCACAGTGTTGCACCCGACTGTGTTGACAAGCTAATAGCCACAGTAAGTCCTGAGTTATGACATATACTTTGAATGTGACTGGATGTAGAAGGCCTGGGAACATTGAGAGGGTTTAGATAACCAGTTTGATGAGTGCATTTCTGTGATTATTGTTTTGTTGTACTCCTCTGTGCCTTCAAACATCTAATGTGAGCGCCTCAAAGAGAACATTATTTGTTTTAATCTGCACCAAGCAGGCATTTCTTTTCACTATTGCACTATATCCTAGTATCTCATGATAAAGATGGGCTGTAGTTTTCTGAGCCAGTGTATGGAAGGAACTAATTAAACTAAAACTTTGTAAAAACCAAGATGCTTAAACCTCAATACAAGTGTTTAAGTAAAGCAAATAATATACTATATTATAAAATATATCATCTTACAAAAAGTATGATCCTTGAACATCTTTTATGTTAAAACCATAAACTTCAATTTAGGCTATTTGAAGTTTAAGGTTGCTAGTTTTGTTGTGCCACACTATTTTGAAATTTTGAAATTAGAATTCAAAACTTTGTATATATTTATATAACATTATCCTGCTTTAAGCTTTCCACACTTCCATCCCTGACCTGCCATGGTTTTCGTCGTGTTCTCTAACAAACCTCTGAGACCTTCACATAACATTTGTATTAATATGATTATAAAGTTAGTTACTTGCAGGCGGACATCATTTACCAAAATTGGTGACTTCTGAAGGCACTTGGCTGAAGCTGATTTCATCTAGTTATTCATTATTGCATTTAAACACCATACATTGCACAGAGCTGTTTTAATAAAGTATATTAAAGTTTAATGGGGTAAACAAGACTACTGTAGCTGCCCCTGCAGATCTCTTTAGGTTTTAAACTTTGGATTAATACATTGTTAGCTATTCCTTGTTTATTTTCTCAACAACTAATTCATTAGTCTCTGGGGAATGGCTTTGATTATTATTGTAATATTTGTGACAGATCAACAAATAAATAATTAACAACTAAACAAAAAATTTTGATATTATTTGCTACCTATTCAGTAGTAAATTACAGAATCACTTTCAAAGTAAATAAAATATCAAATTTGTTATTTTTTGTGATGTGAAATCAGGGACTCTCAATTTATATTATTTTTGCTCTTGTTTTCTCAAGACAAAACATCAAGGTTGAATAATCAATCAAAAATTCCCAATTTGTTTCTCAATCAAACAGCACATCTTTGTTGTCTTCCATGCTCAGAGGCTAAATAACACGCTGAACAATCACACTATAAAACATTTCTCTGTCTGCTTCCTAGCCATTTTCATCCCCCATCTAGAAAGTAAATGACATGCACATTAGTATGGTAGATAGCAATATTTATTTCTTTTATAGCACTAGTAATGTACTGAAACACTACAAGGGGAGACAGAACAGAGGTAATATAACACACATTAAAGCCTGAACCTTTTTACAGCTGGTGAATGCCGATGGAAATATACTTCATCCCTTTCGCGTGTCTTCTCAGAATACCCTAATTAATTCTGAGATAGGTGACTTTTATTACTTTCCAAGTGTGCATACTGATGCATTTACTCTCCCTTAATTCATTTGTTGTCTTTGCACTTCCATCTTTTTAAAAACATTTTTCTTGTGTGTCTCTCTTATATTTAAAATACATTGACTTATTTAGTCTGCTCGCCTTCATTCCAGGTCTCATTTTCTTTTTGCATTAGTTAGGGGCGATGAAAATAATTGTGCTTCATTAATTCTGAGTCTGACTGGATGATAGCCATTTTAAACTATGTCTGCCAATTAGGCAGTCTGAATTAAAAGTGACCTTGTGATCAACTCTTTCACCTAACTGTTTAATGAAGCCATTGTTTAGAAAGTGGCAGGTTTTTTTCTATAAAGCAAATATTTGTCTTTTTTTTTTTTTTGCAAGATTTATTGGTGTTTTGATTTCATACATGTACATTTTAAAAGTTTTAGGATTTAAACATTAAATCAAAAATTTATTTTTATTAAATGGGCAGATACTGACATTTTGAAAATATACTCAAAAAGTTAAAACGCTGATATATCATCACCCTCTATGTGCAGTCACCCTCTTCATTTCACTCAGACACATAGAAGGAAGAAAAACAATGGTTTAAAATAATGCATTTTCATACTTGGCACAGATTATGCTCTCAGACACCAGCTCCAGCCACACATTGTTTTAAACATATTTCTGTTTATAGATTTTTGGAGCTTTTTTCGACTGCAGAAAATGTCACTCATTTTCTGTTTTCACAGCAGTGATGACAAATATTTGTTCATTTCCTAGAGGTGTCTTCAAAATATTTATATAGCTCTGAAAAAATAATGAAGATCTGATGATGTTTTCTCTTTGAATGTGATTCTGCTGGGTTTGTTTTTTATCTGGCCATTTGACTTTTTAAACCAAATTCTAACCATACATAGTCACTAAGTATGATTGTTAACACTTTAATTCTTTTGTGTTTTGTGTCTACAGGTGACAGCCACTGAGGTTCTACCAGCAAGCATGTTCATACCAGTGCCTAGTCCAGACAAAGAGTCCCAGAGCACCCCTCTTGCTGCAGCCAACTCCATCTCTGAGGACACAAAAAAGCAGACTGGTTAGTATCTCAGTATTTGAAATATTACCTTTAAATTTCATAATATGCATCTTTTCTGTAATACTAACCATAGGGTTCTTAAGTCATATCTTTATTTACCTTGATAAGTGTTTGGCAATTGTAAAATACAAAAAATATCAAGTCATAAAGAGAGCATCAGAAAATTAGGAGGCACTACAGTTTTTCCCTCACTCAGCATATTAAATACGTTTTTATTCTGTGGCTCTCACTCACAGCATAACTGGATGAATGATTGGTATTTTAACACCTTGTAATTAATCTAAAGGTTGATCTTTTTGTACACATTCCTGCTTGTGGATGCACAATAAAAGTATTTTTCTCCATTTCTAAACTTAATTGGAAAATAACTGTAAAAAGTAATTCTTTGTTGATTTATTTACAGATGCCACAGATGCTGATCCAGAGAAAGGGATATCCCTCACCACAGACATAGCTGAATCTCGCAAGTCACCTTCTGAGGATCAGCAGTCAGAAAAGGAAGATGCCACTGGTTTTCTGTGCTGGAAGAAAGGCTGCAGTCAAGTATTTAAATCCTCCAACTCTCTCCAAGTGCACTTCAACGAAGTTCACAACAAAAGGCCCCAGTTACCGGTTTCTGATCGCCATGTCTATAAGTATAGATGTAACCAGTGCAGTTTGGCCTTCAAGACTGTGGAGAAACTGCAGCTTCATTCACAGTACCATGTGATCAGAGCAGCTACTATGTGCTGCCTTTGTCAGCGGAGCTTCAGAACTCTACAAGCCTTGAAGAAGCACTTAGAAACCAGCCATTTGGAACTGAGTGAAGCTGATATCCAGCAACTTTATGGAGGATTATTGATGAATGGAGATATCATGGCAATGGGGGATCTGGCTCTTAATGAGGAGCATGGAAGCCTGGGAGAAGACGACAAAGAAGGAGATGACAGTGACCCTGACGAGAAACAAAGTCCAACAGGTAGTGATTCTGGCTCACTACAGGAGGATTCTGGATCCGAACCCAAACGAGCACTACCGTTCAGAAAGGGCCCCAACTTTACAATGGAGAAATTTTTGGACCCATCTCGTCCATTCAAGTGTACTGTATGCAAAGAGTCTTTTACACAGAAGAACATTCTGTTAGTTCATTATAACTCTGTCTCCCACCTACACAAGGTGAAAAGAGCTCTTCAGGAATCCACTACTGGTCAACCAGAGCCAACCAGCAGTCCTGATAATAAGCCATTTAAGTGCAGCACTTGCAATGTGGCATATAGCCAGAGTTCAACTCTCGAAATCCACATGCGCTCTGTTCTACACCAGACCAAAGCCAGGGCAGCCAAACTTGAAGCAGCTGGAGGGATCACTAGTTCTGCAAGTACAACTGGTCTAATTAGCGGAGGGTCCAGCATGAGCACATCAACAACTAGTCCAAGCCCAGCTAATAACTCTACTCCTAGCTCAGCAAACCACAGTTCTTCTGGATCTCAGGCAGCTCAAAGTATTCATGGAGGAAATCACATGAATCAGACTCATGGCATTGAAAGTTTGGGAAATTCTTCAGCAAGCTGTCATTCTTCATCATCTGAGAACCATGAAGTAAAAAAGTCTAAATTTAGTGAGCTTCTCTCTGCAAGAGGGCAACAACAACAGCAGCTTCAGCAACAACAGCAATTGGCTCAAGCTCAGGCTCAAGCCCAGCTTCAGCAGGAGCTTCAGCAGCAGGCTGCACTTTTACAATCACAGCTATTCAATCCAGCACTTCTGCAGCACTTCCCAGTGACAACTGATGCACTTCTGCCTCTGCAGCAGCAGCAATTACTGTTCCCTTTCTACATCCCTGGAGCAGAATTTCAACTTAACCCAGATATCAACATCAGCAACTCTGTTCTCGGCCTAGCAGGATCTGCAGCTTCTACCCTGCAAGAAGATTTAAAAAACTCAGCCCAGCAGGCCCAGCAGAGTTGCTTGCAACAGCAATTAATGCATCATCATCTACAACAGCAGCACCAACAGCAGCAGCATCAACAGCAACAGCAGCAGCAACAGCAAGCTCACTCACAGGTTCAAGGGCAGATGGCTTTGCTACAGCAGAGTGCGTCTCTTCTCCAGCAGGCTGAAAAAAAGCAGAAACATTCCTCCTCAAAAGATGAAAAAGAGAAAGAAATACAAAAAGAGAAAGATGTAACTGAGAAAAGTGAGGACAGTATAAGCAAAGATTCCACTGAAAGCAAACCAAAAGAAAAAAAGGACATTCAGAACATTTCACTAAACATTAACCAAGATTCTGGCATGCTTCCACCTAGGATTGCTTCAGATGCTCGAGGAAATGCAACTAAAGCCTTGCTGGAAAACTTTGGATTTGAATTAGTTATTCAATACAATGAAAATAAACAGAAAGCTCAGAAAAAGTCAAGTGGACCTACAGGTTCAAGTGGAATAATGAAGGTTGTAGATCCCATTGAGGGATTAGAGAAACTGGAATGCGAAGCCTGTGGCAAGCTGTTTTCAAACATACTGATTCTTAAGAGTCACCAGGAGCATATCCACCAGGCTTTTTTTCCTTTCAGATCCTTGGAGAGATTTGCCAAGGAATACAGGGAGCATTACGATAAACTCTATCCACTAAGACCTCCGACACCAGAAGCTAGTCCTGCTCCTGCCCCGCCTCCTCCTCCACCTCCACCTCCACCACCTCCCCAAAGAGCTCCAACACCAAATATTCCAGTCTCTGCAGCCTCACTCACTCCTCCCACTGTACCTCCTCCACAACCCCCAGTTCCAATGACACAGATACCTATGCCAATGGATTTACCCTTGTTCTCTCCACTTATGATGCAGCCCATGTCTCTGCAGTCCCTGCCCACTCAGTTGCCTCCTCAGTTACCTTCTGTCGAGCCAAGCTTGGCATCGGACTTGGCCCAACTCTATCAACAACAGCTTACACCTGCAATGTTACAGCAACAGAACAAGAGGCCTCGGACTCGCATCACTGATGACCAGCTTAGAGTCCTGCGACAGTACTTTGATATAAACAACTCACCAAATGAAGAACAAATTAAAGAAATGGCAGATAAGTCTGGGCTGCCACAAAAAGTGATAAAGCACTGGTTCAGAAATACACTCTTTAAAGAACGTCAGCGCAACAAGGACTCTCCTTACAATTTCAATAATCCTCCAACAACAACACTAGAAGAAACAAAGATTGATTCCAAACCTCCTTCCCCTGAACCTCAGAAACATGAACTCTATGGAAGTAAGAGATCATCTAGGACCCGGTTTACTGACTACCAGCTAAGAGTCCTACAAGACTTCTTTGATGCAAATGCTTATCCGAAAGATGATGAATTTGAACAACTCTCCAACCTTTTGAGCCTTCCCACTCGTGTTATTGTTGTGTGGTTCCAAAATGCTCGACAAAAGGCAAGAAAGAATTATGAAAACCAGGGTGATGGAGCCAAAGAGGGAGAAAGGCGAGAACTGTCAAATGACCGATATATTCGTACATCAAATCTAAACTACCAGTGCAAGAAATGCAGTCTGGTTTTCCAGCGTATCTTTGACCTGATAAAACACCAAAAAAAGCTGTGTTATAAAGATGAAGATGAGGACGGGCAGTATGACAGCCAAAATGAGGATTCGTTGGATTTTTCCCATGACAGCTATACTCCCTCTGGGTCGTCCTGTCACACACCAATGCCCTCCTCTTCAAGTCTTTGCCCTCTTCCTCCATCAACGTCAGCATTTTCACAACTCTCATCGGCTGAGAAAGAGGAAGCATCACCAGCAACCATTTCAAACCCCTATGATGAAAATACCAAACAGCTGCCAGAAATTTCTAGTGATCCACGAGATACTCAAACTTCTATAAAGCAAGAAATCATACTCCAAAACCAGTCTGAGCCCCAACATACTAGATCTCAGAGAGAGGAAAAGATGCATGTCTCTAAGGCTGTTAAGCATTCATCATTGTCTCAGCAACAGCAGCAGTGTGGCCCATCATCTTCTCAGACAACCCAGGCATCCTCACAGAGCTCCCACTTGGGCCTCAATCCACACCTATCCTCTGTTACACAGCAGCTGGCACAGCAGATGATTCCATACCAGTGTGAGCAGTGCAAGATTGGCTTTCCATCCTTTGAGCACTGGCAAGAACACCAGCAATTGCATTTTCTCTCTGTGCAAAATCAGTTCATTCATCCTCAATTCCTTGATCGCCCAATTGACATGCCCTTTATGCTATTTGATCCCACCAATCCCCTACTAGCAACCCAACTTCTCTCCGGTGCAATGCCTCAGATACCCAGCAGTTCTGCCACCTCTCCGTCCACTCCAACCTCCACTATGAACTCCCTGAAAAGAAAGCTTGAAGAAAAGGCTAGTACTAGCCCTGGAGAGAATGACAGTGCAAATAGTGGAGAGGAACCACAGAGAGACAAGCGGCTCAGAACCACCATTACACCTGAGCAACTAGAGATCCTTTATCAGAAGTATTTATTAGACTCAAACCCCACTCGTAAAATGCTTGATCACATTGCTCATGAGGTGGGATTAAAAAAGAGAGTTGTGCAAGTTTGGTTCCAGAATACCAGAGCAAGAGAGAGAAAAGGCCAGTTCAGGGCTGTAGGGCCAGCTCAAGCTCATCGTAGGTGCCCGTTTTGCCGAGCTCTATTCAAGGCAAAAACAGCCCTTGAGGCACACATCAGATCTCGTCACTGGCATGAAGCCAAACGTGCTGGATACAATTTAACTCTCACTGGTTTGTTACCTGAGCAGGAGAGTATGCAAATTAAAATGGATGTTTTGGATACGTCAGGCTACTCCCAACTGGCCTCCACAGTGAACAGTGATGGACAAAGCTCCTCTATGTCTCCAGTAAATAAAAGCATGGATCTGTCTCCCAGGGGTCTGCTGAGCCCTTCATCCATCAAAGTTGAAGGAATGGAAGACTTTGAGGGTGCAACAATGTCCTCTGTGAACCTTAACTTTGATCAAAACAAACTGGATAATGACGACTGTTCATCTGTGAACACGGCAATCACAGACACGACTACAGGGGATGAGGCCAATGCAGATAATGACAGTGCTGATGCAAAACCCAGCCAAAACAGTGGTGATTACCTATCCAAGTCTGGAGGTACATCCACTATGCTCGAAAATGATGATCAAATGTCATCAGGGTTAGTAAGCCCTGCAACAAGCTTTTATGCTAAGGACTATGAAAATGAAAATATGATTGACCACAGTGAGACATCCAGCCTGGCTGACCCCTGCTCACCAAGCCCTGGAGCCTCAGGTACCAGGAGCATTGACAGTGGAGACAGACCAGGCCAAAAGCGTTTCCGGACCCAAATGACGAACCTCCAGCTGAAAGTGTTGAAGTCCTGCTTTAATGACTACAGAACACCCACTATGCTGGAGTGTGAGGTACTTGGCAATGAAATTGGACTTCCAAAGAGAGTGGTTCAAGTGTGGTTTCAAAATGCCCGTGCCAAGGAGAAAAAGGCTAAACTGAACATGGCTAAGCACTTTGGAATAAACCAGACATCTTACGAGGGGCCAAAGACTGAATGCACATTGTGTGCCGTTAAGTACAGTGCTCGCCTTTCTGTTCGTGATCATATATTCTCTCAACAACACATATCCAAGGTGAAAGATACCATTGGGAGCCAGATTGATAAAGAAAAAGAATATTTTGACCCAGCTACTGTTCGCCAGCTCATGGCCCAGCAAGAGATGGATCGCATTAAGAAGGCCAATGAAGTTTTGGGTCTGGCACAACAGCAGGCCATGCAGCAGCAGGGGATGTTTGATAACCCTGCTATGCAGGCTCTGAATCTCCAGTCAGCCTACCCAAATCTGCAAGGCATCCCACCTGTACTTTTGCCAGGGGTTGGTAGCCCTTCTCTATCCAGCTTTAACTCATCTAATTCAGGTACGTCATTGTTTCAAACTGACTTAATACCAGACTTTACATGCTATACAAAGAAACTTGAAATTAATAATAGACATCTTGAAGTAATATTAAATTTCTCTTGCCCTTCTATCAGTTGCATGAATTTGCACACTGTACTTAGTGTCATCTTTTATATATTGATCTTTTAATATTCTTGATATGCTGAAGAGGTTTACACTCTCATTACAAGAAATTAGCTAACTTGACTGATTTTCATTTATAAAAATTAAATGAGCCATTGCCATTCATATATCAGCAATCTTTTTTATTCTTCTACATGTACAAGATAAAATAACTTGTTTTTTTCCTCATTGCAACTGTTAATGCTACTTTTTTGTGGGTTTAACATTTCTTGTTTTTTCTGACAAACTTTCAGCTTTAACTCCTCCAAAACCCTCAAACCTCCTGAATATGACGGGTGCCAGTGTTCCCTCACCAAGCCTGCCCACTTCTGGATTGCCTAATAAACCTCCCTCTTCAGCATCTCTTGCAGCATCGAGCCCTGCCCAGACCAACACATCTGCTTCTCACTCAAGCCCTACGCCCACATCGAGCTCCACTTCCTCCACGACCGCATCAGGCTTACGACCTAGACCCCACAAGGAACGTGATGTTGAAAGTTTAAGAGAGAAGGAGAAGGATAAACCCAAGGAAAAGACAGAAAAACCCTCAACTCCATCTTCAACTGGAAGCACTCCAGCCCCTTCCACTTCTGCTGCAAGTGCCAAGAAGGAGAAACCAGACACAGCTGTTCCTGCCACCTCCATGCCAACACCTGGTATGGAGTATGTGGTAGATCCTGCCCAGCTTCAAGCTCTGCAGGCCGCTTTAGCATCAGACCCCACAGCTCTCCTTACAAACCAGTTTTTACCTTATTTTATGCCAGGCTTTTCCCCTTATTACACCCCACAGATCCCTGGGGCTCTCCAGGGGGGCTATCTGCAACCAATGTATGGTATGGAAAGTCTTTTTCCATATAACCCAGCATTGTCCCAAGCACTCATGGGTCTTTCTCCAGGATCACTATTGCAGCATTACCAGCAATATCAGCAAAGCTTACAAGAGGCACTACAGCAGCAGCAGCGGCAGCTTCAACAGATCCAGCAACCCAAGGCAAGCCAAACTGCAGCTCCTACTCAAAACTTAGGGGATCGCAAAGAGGCTGCCAAAGATTCAGTCAAAACAGAGGAGCAAAAGAGCAACCCCCAAAGTGAATCCCCCATGTCCTCTTCCTCCCATAACAAAGTATCTTCTGAGCAGAACGAGATAGATGACAACGCTATGGACCTTCATCTAGACCAGTACATTGTCCCCAAGGTGCAGAGTAAACTTGCCTGTCGCAAGTGTCAAGCTGTTTTCACCAAGGAAGAAGCGGCTATTACCCACATTAAATCTAACTGTTTCTTTGGTCAATCTGTGGCAAATCTGCAAGAGGTGTTGCTGCGTGTCCCCAGTGGCGTAGGTGTAGGGGGCGAAAGTCTCTATGACTGCTTGGCTTGTGACACTACGTTGGATGGAGAGAAAGCACTCAGTCAACACCTGGAATCGGCATTGCACAAACACAGAACAATCAAGCGATCAGTCAGAAATGCCAAAGAGCACGCTACTAGTTTATTACCTCACTCTTCAGCCTGCTTCCCCAGTCCTAACACCGCATCTACCTCGCAGTCTGCCACTCATCCCATCAGCAGCCCATCTCCCTTGCCAACAACATCAGCCACCATGCCATCCTCTGCTGTCTCCACTTCCCTGTGCTCTTCCTCTAAGGCCCAACTCAATACCACAGCTGTCGGCAAACCCTGGCCCCAGGTCCCCTTCTCCAGAGCTTCAGCTGGAAAGCCCAGTGCTAGTCCCTCCTCCTCTTTTCCTCCAGTGTCCTCACCCTCAACGGTTACCTCAAGTTCATTGAGCACCTCAGGAGTTCAGACCTCGATACCAACAGACGTCTTTACCGACGAGTCTGACTCTGACAGCAGTCAGAAGTCAGCAGATAGGCAGGCCAGGGCAACAGAGGAGCCGCAACAGCCTACCTATGTCAAAGACAGTAATAGTTGTAGTAGTAACCTGGCTAGTGTAGGAACAGACTCCATCAGATTGTAAAAGAGCTTTCAGTGATGGACAATATTTAAAAAAAAATACAAAGAAAATGACAAAAAAACACAAAAAATCATAAAAAGCAGCAATGTTAAAAATACATTAAAAGTATACAAACCAGTTTCAGAAAAAGATGTGTAAAGACTAATTGCAATTCCAAAGCTTGTAACCAAAAATTAAATGTTAGTGGATTGTTTTCCCATATCAACATGCTGGTTTTTATTTTTTTTATTTGTTCATTTTTGTTATGTTTAACCCAACTGAAATCCAGGCATACTAAGGTGTGAGGACAAGAAAGATCAAAGATCATAGCAGTTATATTTTATGTAATAGTGGAAAAATGCTGTACTGTATGGCAATGGACTGCCTCAAAGTTGGCAAATGGCCCAATAGCCCTTTTTTAAGGAATGCAAGTAAGTAACCCAATACTTTCTACGTAAGAGCACAGTCACTAAAAGCCAGTATGTACTGTATGGGAGAATAGTCTGTTCAGTTCAGTTTTCTTGCTACTTAAGCATTCAGATACCAATGGCTTGCAAAAGTAAAAGAATAATGTAATGTCTATTTTATTCTCAGGTCAACAGCTCAAAGATGTTTTTTTTTCTGTTACAGAGACTCACGTTTTACTTTTTTTTTTTTTTCCAATGAGATGATTTTTTTTCCTTCTTTAACTTGATTTCTAACAAAGTTTTATGTTAAATTTAATTTAACAAGGCATTTCTTCTGGGCATTTTAAAGGATTGATGATTAATATTTCTAATTTTAAAATCCTCATGAAGTGAGGAATTCCCATGAAATCCAGATAAGCATTGCAGACATAGTAACGGGCAATTTGAAAAGACTTTTGATAAAAAAAATAAACAAATAAATAAAACCTTCTGTATTTATGATAGATATGAGCATTTTTGGTGTTAAGTAGATTGTTGCATTGGAAATGAATTTCAACAGTATGGTAGGTTGGGGAAAAAACTTTGTGTACATTTAACTTTTGTATTGTCTAATTTTAAGACACTTCATTTGATGTTGACTTGGTCATTCCAATAGTCTAGGTTAATGAGAGATAATTTATCTAAACATTGTTTCTGTCTTATCAAACTCTTGTGAAACATTCTCCCAAATGCCCCTCTTGACAAGGCAGGATCCTCTTTAGGATCAAAATTTATTTAATTTTGTGATGTGGTTGGTATTGTTCAAACCAAATGATCCTGGGTGAAATACTGAGAGATTTATTTTTAATTTAATTTTTGTGTTAACTTTGTGCACTTGTCAGACTCCTAATTGTCATTCTTCTTGTTTCTTTCTTCGCACTTATTTTCTCTTCTGCCCTGTGTTTGTAGTCATGTATACTACAAAGCAGGTACATTGTTCTTCATGTTGAGTGGCTACATTGTTCTTTTTTTTTTGTTTTGTTTTGTCAATTTTGTTTTCATAAATGAAAAAAAGATTACTACTAATAATTCTCACGCTTTAAGACAAAAGAAAATCCAAAGACTAAACACTTTCACCATTGGTGCATAAAGATGAGAAAAGAGGCTTCTTTATACTTGAGAATTTGTTGCTGTTTTTTGAGGAAAGAACACAAAGTTTTAAAAGTTAAAGGAGTACGTATCCAAGTTGCCATTTCTGCTTGTTCGCAAGCAAGCGGGTAGCTTTTTTACGTAAATAACCAAAAACCAAAAAGGGCCCTTGTCCTTGCATTGTGGAGTAGCACCGTTACAGAGCCATTGCAGTTTGTAAGATAGAGGTTATTGATTTTTGTTTGACTTTTGTCACATTTAAATGTCCATTTTTTTAAAGAAAATGTATAAGGTCTGGTCTTCAAGGACATACGTTTTGCTGCTAATGTAGATTTTTGAAAAAACAAAAATGAAAAAAATTAATACCTAGATGCATGCTCATTTTGCTTTTGGCTAAGCTTTAACTAAAACAAACAATAAACCAATTTCTTGCCTCTGCAACACTTTTTTTTTTTCTTGTTGCAAAAACGGAACTTTGAAGACTGTGAATATTTGTTCCAAAGGACATTTTGCGGAGTTTCTTTTTGAACAGACCAATGTTTAAAGCCAATGATCTATAACGTTTGTAAAGAACAGTGCATTCCAAATATCACTATGGATTTTTCTTAAGCAAGGACTGATCAATCTAATTTCATTTGATTGTTTTTATTTTCACAATCTATTTTCTCTCATTTTTTAAAATGACTGTAAACTGTTGTGTATATTTTTTGCATAGTTGGTTGCTGAACACAGTGACCTCTGTATGTCATTTTGTGCTGGCATGGAACATGGCTGAAAATCCCTCCATCCAATCAAGGTTGTTGCTTACTTGTTAAGCAAGTAACAGTGGTTACCAAAAAATGTATATAATACATCTGGTACTGATGTGTCTCATCTTTTGATTTTTTTTTCTACATTATTGCCATTCAACCTCCCCCTAATCTCAGAGGGAATCAATGGCTTTTTGCTGAGGTCTTGTCACCCTTTCCCAGGAGGTCTAATAGTGACTTGTTTCATGTTTGTGCAGGGTACCACTTCCACTCTTAGATCACAGGTTTTTAGGGGCATCTTCAGTCCAAAGCATTATTTCTGCTGAAGAGTTGGAAGTTTATTTCATTTTATTGAATATGTCCCTTGATTTCAAACACTTCGGATGCTCTCATATCCAAAGAAGTCATCTAATTAATTTTGCTGGAAAGGAAATGGTTGGTATAGGTGCCCGCATCTTCTCATTTAATGATGTGAAACACAAGATTTTCTAAACCGAAACCAAGGTGTCTTTAAATTTTTTGAGTAAAAAACTTGTGGTCAATATTAACCCTAATGAATACAAGGCACAATCTCTAAAATGTTTAAAAACGTGCTACTTCTGGCAGAAAAATGTGACTTGGTGTTAATACCTTGCTGTGCTGTTTATGTCAGTAGCTCTAGTCTTCAAGCTTGAAAATTCTCAAATCCAGTTCCTTGGAATACTGTTAATGAGTACCTTAAGTTATCCATTTTACTGTTTCAACTATGTTTTGTTTTCATATTTTATTTTTTAAAGATTGTTAAATATATATTATTTTCTTTTGTTTGCAATTTGCTTTTATTTCTGTATATTACTTTTAATCATAAATTAACACTAGCTTTAATTTGAATTGCTGAAATTAAGATAAACAAACTAAAATGACCTGGCCACTTTATGGTGTGACAATGTTCTTTATATTCACTGTTTCAATGTCATTGTTTGTTCTCTGTTTACTCAAAGTGTAATCGTGGGCTCTCTTGTGGACCACAAAGTTGAGGTCTCCACAATAGACTGATGCCAGTATGGGTGTGTTTTGTGTGCCTGTGTGTATCTGTGTGTATTTCAGAAGAGCCAGCATCAATTCAACTTTTTTTCTTGTTTGCCTTTTTTATTTTTTCATGTGTTACACACCAAATAAACAGAACCACAAAGCTGGATTGTGATAAAATTCTTAACAAATCAAACTGAAACATAATAGCTCTTAACGAGAACGATGAAACCGAAGCACTGAGCAGTTTTTAACATTGATTGAATATGTTAATGTGGCCAAAGCTTTTATGCAGTTGTGACAAAAAAAAAGCGACAATTTCTGCCCCATACAAGTGCATATTTTATAGTGGCTACAATAAATTTTATGCGCGTTACACATTGGGATACATTTAATGGACACTTACAAGAGAAAGACAAAGACAAGATTTTGCTGTAGAGGTCTTTTTTTTTGCCCACTGTGAAACATGTACCTGTATACAGATATAGATATATTTAAAGACTTTTTTTTCTCTGTTTTTAGTCTTTGAGATGAAGAAAGAATGAAAATGAATAAAATGGACTCTGGGAAGCTTTGGAGACCTCGTTAGGAGGACACGAGAGGCTGCGGGCACACCAAAACTGGGCACGAGAGCCAAAGGCAGGCTCAAAACAGCTTTAAAAACCCACCTCTTTATTTGATTACTGACATCTCTATAATGGGAATGGACTCTGGAACCAATGGACTTGTGTGACACAGAGGGAAGTCTTTAAATGAAACTGAACTTTAAGTGGCTCCAGCTGCCTCTAACCTCCCCCACCCCAACCCTCCATCTGTCCTTTCTTTCTCTAGCTCTGCCTCAGCTTCTGCTCTTTGATGGACATTTTTCAGATTTCAGGACAGAATGGACAGAGATGCTTGCTTCATTTCTTCCTCTTCATGTTGCCACCCGTTTAATTTTCTTGTGCTTGTCTCTGGCTGACAAGTACAGCTCTCCAGTCAAACGGCGACTCACCCCTCTCTGTGTTGGTTACATAATCTAAATAGGGAAATTATTAACATAGAGAGGGGACGAGTTCTCAGAGCTGTCTTTCTTAGAGGCAGACACTAAAAAAAAGCATAATAACCAAAATTACCAACCAAACTAACAACCAAACAACCATTTGCTCCAGCTTCAAAGATGAACTGTAACCTGGAGCGCTCTGTTCTTTTTGTGACTTCTGGTGCCACAATGTTTTTTTATGCTTTTAGTTTTTCTTTCCTTTAATTACTCCTCCTTTGAGCCTCATAAGCATGGCTCTGTGGCTCCAGGAAGCCCATCTGAGGGTAGAAAAAAACAGCCTTGCAATGTACAAAAAAGAGCAAGTTAAACCAAAAATGTTGTTCTTGATGTCTTTTCTATACTGTAGTCTTGTTAGTTTTTTTTTCTTTTTTTTTTTTGTTACTGTAATTATATGAAGATTTCCAGACTGTACCAAATTACATGGAAACTAACATACATACATGGAACTTCAGACTTTTAAAGAAACTTTTGTCACAAAACCTTGTTGTCCTAGTTAAGTTGATTGTAGATGGTAATTGAATATACTCCTTTGAAAATATTTCATCAAGTATGTTTCTTGCTCATTGTGATACATTAAAAAAGTATGAGCATAAACTGCACTGTTTGGACTCATTTTTGAGTGTCGCGAGAGTGGAAAACTTCCAGTGAGGTATGCGTGTTTTAACTTTTCAACCATCAGATGTTTAGTTCAAGGTGCAGTTAAGGCCTGAGAATAATTTTGTACAAAGACCTGAACAATTCAAAAACATGTTCAGGTCTGACCCTGTATCTGGTAAATACAGATACAGATTTTAAAAACATACTGACAAATTTTACTTATTCAAATGTGAAATCACTATCAGAAATTTTAAAACATATCAACCCAATGTACTTGGGATATTTTATGCCTTTCTTTTGATAAGCAAACAAAAGAAAGGAATTATAATTCAGATTTATAATGATTTACTCGTCCCGTTATCCAAAATTCTGGGTTTCACAAAATTATTTGTATTTCCCCGTTGCTGGACAATGAAGGCTTTTTATAAAATAAATCAAACCAAAATATCATTAGGTCATGAGTACTAACTTAATCATTTTGGCTCATTTGCATTTATTAATTTTAATCAACATGTGCTCATGTAAATGAAAATTATGGGTCTCCCAGAGGATCAGCACTATTGAAATTATTTAATCCTGTCCTTTATGACTTCAAATCTTACCTGAATGGCCTGAGAATGATTGCTGGCCCTTGTCGTTTATTATATTAAGACAGAATGAAGTGATTGTAAGAAAATTCACTGAATAACAACTTGTAGCCAAGCACAGAATAGAAGAAAGTTTTCTATCTAGTGAGTCCATGTCAAATTGGCTCTTTATCCCTTCCTATTTGATGTTCGTTTTGAGTTTAACAGATTGTTTATACTTGCAGGATGTCCTTGCAGCTTGCTGGATGTCTGTCTGTGTAACATGGATTTTTGTGGCATTTGAGCTAGAACCAGAACCGAAAGAAATAGAAGACAAGTGGTACTGCTTTGGCAGCAGAAGACGTGACAAATACTGACTGTGTTAGTGTTTATTCAGACTTTCCTTTAATGTTCCCTCCAAACTTAACAGCATAATGTTTTGAGATACTTACACCAAAACAAATAAAGTGAACAAAAAAAATCTGCTACTCTTGACTCCTATTGAAAAAAAGATTACAACCTCTGCCTACATAACTCTGCACAGTCAATGGAAAGATTACGACATCTTGCAACATTTTATATGCATGGAGGAGCATTTTCAGCACCTGATGCAAAATACAAAGAAATATGTTTTCACACACTTCTCTTTGTCTAAGAGTATAAAACTTTAACAGATGTTTTTTCACCCTGCTGATTTATATTTGTGTTGTGAAAAACAACAAGGTCAAAAGCTTGAACAAACAGTGTCTAAATTCGAGAGACACATTCATTTTAGGGCCAAGCCTGTAAACATTGAGCTGTAAAGTTGAAATTGGATATTGTGGCAGAACTTTGGTTTACAAAATCTGGATTTCAAAGAACGTCCCTCAAAATGAAATATTGTCATTCACACTTACTAAAGCAATGAAAAATGTTCACATGTTGCTGAACAGTGCTTGATTAAATGTGGATTTAGATGAAACAAAATTAGGATCTGTCTGTTGCTGCTTGTTTGAAAGGACTGATGCTGATATGTAAGTGGTCAGCCTTAGCTTCTGTTACTCTTAACTTGAAGAAATGGCTTTTTGTGCATATTAAGTTTCACTGTTTTAAGTATAATGAATTTGAGTTATTTTCATTAATATGTAGTGCGATCTTGTTAGATCCCTTCATCACCTGAAATGCTTTCAGCAAATGTGTGACATTAACACCAGCTGTAAGAATTATTAGTGGGCCAGCCTAATACGTACATGTTAAGAAACAACTGTGAACTTCTTAACAAAAAGCGGCAGTGTGTTGCTAATGTAATCAGAACCACTAACAGCCATGCTTGGTGAAACATCCTAAAATGAGATGCTTTTTGATATTCTTTCACATCCTTTAAGTGTTGATCTTGAAGAAACCACACACCTATTATCACTTTATTAAAGCTTTTCATAATATGTAGCTACTTAAAAATGTCCAGTTGCTTAAGGAACAAAAAGGCACAGTTGCTTGAGTTCTTTATTTTGAATCTTTTGGGGTTTTTATTTATTTATTTTTCATTATTTTAATATTTCTAACTACTCATAAGTTGATTAAACTACAATATAGTTGGATTGCTATGGTCTCCTATTGTTTGTTAAAATACCACCAATTTGCAAGGGTATTAAAAAAAACATAAACATTTCACTTTAAGATTGCAGAAAGAAATGAACATCTTGTTGCAAGCAACAGGCAAGATTCACTGGCCATGTTGAGCCAATTAACACGCAAGGGCACATCCCGAATGAATTAAAACACCCTAATCCGATCAGTGTGAAAGGCAAGGCCATTTCCTTCACAGGCCTGGACCAGATGGCACTCACACTTGGAGGCTTCACCGCAACAGGCCAGGCTCAGTCACACAGTGTGAAATTGGGTTAACGCCTGCGTTTAACAGAGGCCCTCGGCAATGTGAGGTCTGAAGCCCATTTTCCCCAAGCCTCAAGGTACAGGGTCCACCTTGCCAATTGTTGCCCCCCTATTTAATTACTATTCTCAATGCACATCACTAACTTAGCCATTACAGCCAAAGGTGCTGCTTATAGCTTCCTTTTGCCATACACCTTCTTCCACAAGTAAATATTTGACAGTACACGATAAAGCTACTGTAATTCACCTATTCCTTATGTTTTCCTTTGATTGCCTTTTCCCCCTATTAATTAAAATTAACAAATGGTAAGCACAAACTCCTTTCATTAGATGGATTTTTATTTTTATTTTATTTAGCTTAGTTGCCTCCCATTTCTCTTGAACATTTCTGTAGTGAGTTCAGTTTATAGTACTTAATTTCTAATGAATTCTGTTTCCATACAAAATCTCAAAACTCATGTAATTCAGATAAACTAAGACATTAGGTCAGAGGAATTTCTTTTAAGAACTAAGGAAAAAATGGTCTATGATCAGATAATACAAAAAAATCTACTGTAGAGTGACTTTATACATTTAAAAGACACAATTCTTCCCAAGATTGACGGTTCGTGTTAACAGCTGGTAGGAAATGTTTTTGGCCTAAACATATATATTCTCTCGCAGATTACCCACATGGAGCTCACTTTTTAATATTAATTTTTTTGCAATCAAAGGAATTTAGGATTTTACCTGGTATAATGTTTTTATTCAAACTGTTTCGGTTCAGTTTATAGGTTTTTAAACAGCATAATCAATAAAGTTCTCAGTTTTTCCTCATCATTACACAGTATTGACCACAATCTTTCAAAATGTTGCAGGGCCTATAAAAAGTATTGTCTCCCTCATATGCAGTACCTTTTTATTCAAAACTAATTAATAAAAACAAAACTTTAAAGCTGGGAATGCAACTTTTATCTTATCATATTATATCATAGACTAATTGTATTATATATGTCTGGTTTTGAGGTTTTACAATGCAGAAGTTTAACTTTTTACTTTGCAGGAATAGTAGCTTCTGGCCTTTCCCAGATTTGCTCAGTATCAACTTTCAGTTACTGCAGGGGGCAAATTGTAGAAATATCTCAACAAAAAGATTTTGAAGCTGTTGGGGCCTTGTCTTAAACAGGAATTGTTGGGATTTGCATTTGGCACAATAAAGGAAGAAAACAAGGAGCAAAGGCTTTGCAGACCTGAAAACCACCACACATTTTCTAAAGAACATCCAGTCTTCATTATAATTAAGAAAGGGCAATTCCTCTGTTAATGAGACCTTTAAGAAAACCACTAGCACTAATTCAAATGTCATATTTAAATCATACATCATGCTGAAGAATTAGGGAGGGGGAAGTTTTAGACATGCAACCCAAATATGACTCTTTTTATTTTGTTTTGGGTTTTTTTGACCAAATGCGACTCATCCGACTTTTTTACAGCAGTCTGAACAGAGGTTATTTAACCTCTCACCCCCCCAAAAAAATCAGATTTGTGCTACTTTGATATGTGGTGCTAAACCAGATGCGTGTCCAATTTTTTTCAACATCTCTGCCATCTGTTTTGTTAAGAAATGTATATATTTTCTTTGGCGTTTTCCTTAATACATTTTCATTAAGTAGAAAAAGCTGTCTTTTTCTTATACAAGTGTTTGTTCTTTTTACATAATGATGCAACTGAGCCTATGATACACATAAAAACATGCATCATAATTATGCACCAGAAGAAGCAGATACCATAAGTTCACATGTAAACAATGGGTGAATTTTTTTTAATTTTAAATTATTAAAGTAATCTGTCATTAAATTGCATTTAATGACACAATATCCTCATTCTTGTTTCTCACTACGCGTCCAAACAGGTTTCTCTACAGAAGCTGCAATCAGTGTTCTAAAAAAGGCCATTGCTGTTAGTTGAATGTTCTTTTTTCTTTTTATTATCTTTCTTCATTTTGTCATGATCTTGTAACAATAATGTCAGCTTTAAATAACTTTAAAGTCAATTCATATTCAGAAACATTCATTATTACTTATGTTAACTTTGCTTTGCGTGGCATTTAAGTTCATATGTGCACGAGTGTTGCTTTGGAATTGCAAAGTTTCTTTCATGCTGGTGATTGTGTATTATACTGAAATGTTTTCAGTCAGCAATGTTGACATTTTTCTTAATCTAGTCCGCTTTCACTGTCCTGTTTTTGCATCCGTAGACAACATGAATACTATTGAGGAGCGGCTTAGATATTGTAAGGAATTATGTATATTTGTGTGATTCATCACAAAATTCCTACAAGTATTGGAAAATGGCTTTTTCATGCTCTGTAAATGTTATTTTCTTTATTTAACCATTAGATTTATACACATTTTTCTCGACCATGTTTTCTGCCAGTATGTGTTCATATGTCAGGGAGCAACACATATATGCAGGGTCTGAAGAAAATGTCCTGCAACGACAAGACATGACTGTTCAATGTCGGATTAAGCATATGAGAGCTTAAACTATTCACAACAGAAGTTCAGTTGTATCATTCAGCAGTA